GTTTGAACATTGCTTTTTTCTGTCCTCATTTGTTTGCAATATTTCTTCGAGCATCAGCAGCAATAGAGCAACAGTTACGTCAGATAAGTTTTATTTTTCAATAATTCATTTAATCACACATCGGGAATAGAGTAAGCAAAAACAAAAAAAAAAAAAAAAATATGGGAAAGAAAGCAAGGAAAAAAGAGAAGAAAAAAACAAAGTTGCTAAGAGTTTAAACTTTTTTCTTTCTTTTTTGTTCTTTAAATTATTTGAGCATCAGTATTTTTTGATCTCATAGATCAAAACAAAACATTCACCTACTCATTATAATATACATACTGTTTAATCACATAAATTAACAGCACTTTTTATTAATAACTGGGATTTCAGGTTCTGTTAAGTTTTTTTTAAATTATATTTATTATCCTGTACAATTACTTTTTTTTCTTTGTTTCTTTTGAAGGACAATGTAAAAATTCTATATAACTATTTAAAACTGTATATTCACTATAAAAATTTATGCTTATTTCACTATGCAAAACTTATTCTGTTCTGATATTTGTTTCACATAAGAAATCTTTCTGAAATATTGGTGTGTTTCATTTGCTAAAAAGAAAAAAAAAAAAAAAGAAGAGAAGAGAAGAAGATGGCAGAAAATATAGAAAATAAGGTGAAAAAAAAATGGTTATTGAAAACTAACTCTTTTTTTAAATTCTAATTACATTCGTCAATCATAAATCTTTCTTTTTTTTCGCTGAAGATACGCACTGATAATCAGAGGATAATTCAGCGAAAAACAAAGAAAGAAGTAAATATATATATATATATAAAAGATAATTATTAAAATTCTACAAATAGGTAAACCGGAAGTTGAGGAAAGCATATCGTCTTATATGTGAACAGAAAAAAAAAAAAGTGGAAAAAAAGAAGTAAATGAAGTTTTTCTAACAAACAAAATAGAAAAAAAAAACATAAACAACTATGGCATTTTGAAATTCATTATTTTCGAACATTTAGCAGTATTAGTAACAAATTCTGCTAGAAAAAAAATACCTGAACTCAACAGTAGTTTTAAGTGAGT